TTTTCATTTAACAATTTTTTAAATTTATGTATGTATGTATTTATGGTTAAAATATATGGAGGGCAAAAATGATATCTCTGGAACACATCGATTATTGGACGACGGTGAAAATAGTGTTGTAAGTGTCACCCACTAAATCAGGGTCATCTAAGGGTGTGGTTTATGGAGTCATTTAACATCTTCACAATGAAGATTGTCACTTGATTTTGTGTATTCCTCACTTCCTTTTTTTTTACCTTACCTCATTTCTCCTGAAAGTAATGACTTCATGATGAATAACATCATACTAGCTTACCTATACAAAATAGCTATAAAAGGAAGACAATAAGGCAGGGGAGTGGAAATACACAGGCTACAGTTATTAATTATTAACCACTCAGCACACATTTATTGCCATTTTTAGTAGCATATACATTGTTTGTGTCTATTGCCTCTAGTCATAACGGTATCATAATGGTATCAACGGAAAACATATGCTGCTTCAACAGATGTGGGTGTGTGAGCTCATCAGTGTGACTCCATCTTTCTCAACAATAAAAGCAATTTCCTCTTTTTCTCAGATGTCTGCCGAAATTGCAAAAAGAGGTGTCTGCCACACACTTGGGGTTTTCTTTACAAGGCTAAAGTTTATAATGAAGTCTTACACCATTTGCTGATCCATGTTCAACGTGACAAGTGAATGGGAAGTGATATTTCTATCTTACAGAAAAGGGGATGTCCATACTGACAGAACTTACAATAGAAACTAGAATCTTGTGAGTCATTTATTGGTTTATCACTTTCACACTCTGTTATCTCAGAACAAAAAACTATTGTCACTTTACTGTTAACTTATTACTGTAACTGTTTTATTACATGCTTGTACATGAGCAAAAATGTAAAAAGAGGGCATTTAGAATTTCTAACGATAAACCAAATTAAATATAGATAACAGAGGTACACAGACACTGACAATGATTCACGTTGTTGAGCTATTGCAACCGATCTGATAAAACTCTAGTCGATACATAGATTTTTTTATCCAAAAGTGATTAACATTTATCATTACCTGAGCAATACATTTGATTTGAATGGTTTCTGAAAAATAATAAAAAAGATTAAAGGCATGAAATTCATTACAAATGCAATCAATTTGAACATTTCCACGCTACTTGATAGAACATTTCTAGTCTTGTTCCCTTTGTCTAGTTTCCTAGTCTTGCCATCAACCCGCACTTATTAAATTGAACAAATAACTTAATTTTATATATCAAAAAATTAAGTTATGTGACATACAGCTAGATTCTAGCAATTGCACACTTCTCAGTATTCGTCTTCTCTGTGTGTAAGTGAGTACTCCACTCAAGAGTCAGTAAAACCCCTTTTATGCAACTTTCCACAGAGGAGCTGCAACACAGTGAACAAGTTGTAAACAAGGAGTTTAGATGAAAATCAAGCTGAACAAAGGGGAACTTTAACGCAATACCCATTTTGTTAATATTTTCCATAGAACATCAGAATGTGATACAGGGCACATTCCCAGGCTATACCACAAAGACAACAGAACATTCAAGCAGATCATCATAGAATTTTTTTTTTAGTTTGTTTAAAGTTATTAAAAAAAAATACAGCATTAAAGCAAGACTAGGCTATAAGAACATTTCCAATGCAATCAATCAATGTAAGGTGGATTAAAGACTCAGCAACTTATGTTGTATTTTATGTATAATAGCCTAATTGTTATTGTGTATTGGTTATGTTTATATTATATGTTCTATGTTATGTTATGTCATACCAAAAGTACCATATTATATGACATGTTTACTTGTTGGAGCAGTCGGTTCCGGGTAGTACATTTTTGACATTTCTCGGTTCTGCTCGGTTCAGTGTAGCACATTCACGGGTCTCTTCGGGTTCGGGTACGAATATTTGGACCCGTGTAGACCTCTAGTTCCCGCCAGACGTGGTCCTGAGACTGCAGCTCCAAACACCTGCCACCAGAGGTCGCCCCTCTCAACCGAATGATCATTTTTAATATTCTGATTCACAACTAGTTAGTTCATATTCTTGTTTTATAGGCTACAGTTCTAAGTGGTTTAGTTTGTTTGATGGTAATTCATTATTTCTGTTGTTTAGGGTAGAGTGGGGGAAAGCCCCCACCCCCACTGTTTTCCCCCAAATAACAACTATAAAGTCACGATACATTTATGGACTACGTTGAGATGAGAGATGTAGAAGTATTCGCCATGAAGCTTACATTGGCGATGTACCTGAGAGAAAACGGATTTCACAGTAAGTGATGTAGTTTCCAGCAGTAAGAAAGCTCACATTTATATGATATGAGAATAGTGAGGCCTGTAGATAGGGAGTAGGCTACGTGTTATTTAAGATAAATATAACTATATTTTCAGAACCTGTGGGGCAAAACGCCCCCTTAAATAAATTTTTTTTTTGTTAAAAATCTAATAACATAAAAACATGACATTTTTCATTCTTGGTTTATAATTTATGTCATTGTTACTAGTATGGCAACTATTCTGGATGCATATTTTTTGTTTCACAGAAAAAAAAAATTACACAGTCCTTAAGGCTTTTTCCCTCAACTCTACCCTATCATCCCTTGGGTTTTAAATAGAACCCAATGCCTGGGTTTTTACTTTACTTCTCTACATGTGTCCTCTTTCAGTGTCTCTATTAATTCTCTTCAATTATTTTCTCTTTTTAATGGATCAAACAAATACAATTTCTTCTCATTTTGATTAAACGTTTTTATGAATAAATAGCATGCTCAAAAATATGTTTCTAAACAGTAACTAATAATATTCAATTATTTTCTAATTTTAATGGATCAAATTTTAATGTAGGCTATTTAAAAAAAAAAGCAGAACCCCTTTTGGTGCTAAAGAGCTATATTAAACTTTTATGATGCTATAAATACCGTTTATTTAAATTAGTATTATGTTGGGGTTTTACTACTTTTATCTTTCTGCCTGGTTGCATAAAATATGTCCAATTTAACATGCTTAAAAATGTGGAAAAACAAATGATGAAAAAAAAAAAAATCACCAAACACCAATAATATTGATTTGATATATTCTATATTATAATATTACAACAGAAATACACATACAATTTCACAAATACTTCAAACAAAACACAAAGTTTGTGCTTTACTCTATTTCATTACAAAACTAACAACAAACAATGATCAAAAGTGCAACTTTTCTCACACAATTGAACTTTTTAACTAAAAAATGAAATGATTTTTTATTCATCATTAAAAGTGATTTGCTAGAACTCCTATTCACATCTCACAATGAATACAGCAATTTTACACAGTAATAAAAAAAGCTAAAGTGCAAGTCGGAAACAAATGATCATACTCACAAAGAATATGAATACAGAAATACAGCTTATGACAGGTCAAGCATTTATGCTTATCTACCCGAAGCTCTGCATGTGACCCAATATCAATGCAATGTCACCTGAGGAACATTCAACACCCTGACCAGCAGGATGAGAAAGGAGCTTTACAAATGCCCTTTGTGAATAATCCTTTATTGTAACATCTCTGAAAGAAGTTACATTTGGCAGAAAGGCACTGTTTGAGCATCACCAGGGTTTGAACTCTTCTCATGAGTCTGTAACATATGCTGTTTTGAAGATCCAGAACTGCTCCCATCCAAAATGGACATATCTTTCTTTTTCATCTGTTCAAGAGCATAGTATCGCAGCATGAGAAAAAATCCTGTTGGGAACACAAGGAAATGGAATATCATGCCAATTTTATACAACAGAATGGAAGCCAATGAGTTAAATTTAAGACGTCTGAAGCAAACATGTAATGATAAGAAAAGGAAACAAGTTTCAGGGCAGTTTTATTTTTATATGGCGCTACAGGAACTCCGCTTATGTTGACACAATAGCCTAGCCTCGATGTGACCTTGTGTATTTTGTGATAGTGCATTCATGAAAAACCTTACCTTGTAAACTATTGATAATGCAGAAGAGGAAGAGAATGGTCTCTGACATAGGACCAAAATCCAGGAAACCAAGGCCCCACGTCGTGCCAAACAGACAGGTGAGACCCCAGATACTGAGAAAAGCCACATGAATCTTCTTCCAGTCAGGTCGGTTGTGGATCTCCCTCACCACAAGGAAAAGCATGACTGCACCAGAGCTCACCACAACAGCTAGTAAGCCAACATTTATGATGTAATGAGCCAATAGGCTGTTGTCATTCTCCAACATCCAGCACCTGGATAAGCAGGGCAAAGTTTTTTTATAATTTTTGTATACTGTTATATCTAATAGTAAGTACTGTAAATATGCCTCCTTACATGCGGTAAGGATTGTTGACATCATCACATGGTACAATCATCCTTTCGCCATAAATATCCACGTCAACTCCAAGCCACTCTATCAAGAGCAGTATACTGACTAGCAGAACCGGGAGACCTGAAATTGGAAAGAAAAACATTATAATTAATAACTTCATGTTTTGATGACAATGTTTATATTCATTAAATACTCTTCTGCTTGTTTTATAAAGTTATTTTTTATAACTTTAACTATTAAAATAAATACATAATCATGTTTTTACTTACCAAAGCCTACCAAGTAAAATATCCATGTCGGGAGAGTTGAGTTGAACACCTTGCGGATCAGCAAGAATGTGTGAAACACTTCCATGGCCATCCAGCAGAGGGTGCTGAGCAGCGCATAATGCAGAAGGGATCCTGTTATCTTACAAACAATTTCATTTCCTACATTGGCCAGTGTACCAGTAAGAATGAAGAATAAGCACAGAATAAATATTGCCACTACTAGACCACGGTGAACCAGTGAGATCTGGGTTTTCTTCCCTCTTTTGGAATACAGAGACAAACAGACAAAAAAACAGGGTGAGATTCACAATAGAATTTTCACTGAGAAAGCATTTTTTGTGATGGTGTTGAATTTCAAGCCACTGAAGTCACACTTACCTGAGTTTACAGAGCCAATAGAAGAGAACCAAACAGCTAACTAATGACACGGCACAGCCCACAGCGGTAATGAACGTCAGAGCCTGTAGATGGCGAACTGTAGTCTTCTGTTCCACTTGCTGAAGCAATGAAGAAAAAGAGACATGGTATGTATCACCAAAGCTGCTTTAAAGGTCCCATATTTTACACCTTTCTGGAGTTTTATCTTAGGTTTTGATGTCCTTAAGAATATATATTTGCAGTATAAGTACCAAAAACCATCTCAATATATTTTTACAGCTCCTTTCTCAGAAGCTCTGCTGAGAACAGGTCGATTTTGGCCTGTCTAATTAATATTCATGAGCCTCTCTTCTGATTGGCCTGTTGTGTTCTGAGTGACGCATGGCCAGGCCAACCACAGGTAACTAGGGTCAGCCGACGTCACAGTGCTAGGCGGCCCATTCAAACCAGCGCAGGTTCGGGTACATAAGGAGCTTAAAGGGGTCAAATGATGCTTTTTTAAAGATCATTATTTTGTGTATTTGGTGTAACAGAATATGTTGACATGCTTTAATGTTCAAAAAACACATAATTTTTCAAATACTGTACATTATTGTAGGTCCTCTATGCCCCGCCTCTCTCAAACGCTTCGTTTTCTACAAAGTCCCTCCTTCGGACAAGCACAGTCTGCTCTGATTGGCCAGCTGACCCAGTGCATTGGGATTGGCCGACCACCACAAACACTCGTCGGAAATGTAACGCCCCTTACCATAATCGCAAGCTTCGTCTTTCAAAATAAATGTAAAGACAGAGCCCGAAAGGGGAACAGAGTCTCGTGACAGACACAGTGATGAATATGTGTTTGCAGTACACAAGCCACAGTTAAGACAGCTGACTCCACTGTGATGTGTCTTGCTCGCTCTTGCTCTCTCTCTCGCACACACACACGCACGCACGCACACACGAAGCGCAAAACTCCGCATTTGAACAGTCAATAGCAAATACTTAAACTAATAACAAAACAGTAGCTGATTCAGAAGCGCCAGATTGTCATAGCAAAGTCAGAATTACCTTTTCTCCTAGGTTCACGAAACGGTCGTCCATAAAATGCATTGCTGTTCTGTTGTAAGTCATCTTAAAGATTCCTAAATGCATCTACTTTCGGAAGGCCAAATAAAGTGCTTTTGCTTTCGCCTAGAAA